GTGAGCAGGATTCATGAACCAAATCCATCGTAATCAGAATCAGTTCTTCGCAAAGCAAGTGAACTGTCCTGAAAGTACTAGAAGGCTTGATTTCACGGACCTGCTGGTGATTTCTAGCATACGAAGAGCTGTAGAACCTAGTCACCAACATTAGACACTTTTCTTTGCAGTGTTCTATTTACTGCCATCATTGTCCTCACCCCCAATCAGTGCTTATTCAATTGGCCTGTGTAGTACCGTGCACTCCTCTGCCAGCCCTCCCAGCGCCTATAATCAGAGAAGGAATAGATACATCTACCCATCTCCAGACGAGCTCTCAGCAGCTTTCCTGGAGCATAAACTGGAATGCTCCTAAGTAAAGACAAGTAAACTGGAAATGCTGTGCAATTACAGGGAAATTAGTAATATGCGTTTGTATTGTGTATTAGTAATTTCATTTAAAGGGCTTAACATTTGAAGTTCATTTAAAGTAAGTACATTTAAAGTTAGAGTTTTCATGGCAGTAGAGAGACATCATGACCATGGCAAGTGTTATAAAAAAATATTTAATTGAGATGGTGCCTTACAGTTTCAGAGGCTTAGTCATTATCATCATGGTAGGAAACATGGAGGCTGGGAGTATAGCAGTGTGCAGACAGACAGACATGGTACTGGAGAATTCTACATCTTGATCCAAAGGCAACAGGAAGTTAGCTGAGACATTGGGCATGGCTTGAGCATATATGAAACCTCAGAACCTACCTCCACCATGACACTTCCTCCAAAAAGGCCGCACCCACTCCAACAAAAGAACACCTCCTAATAGTACCACTTCCTTTGGGGGTCATTTTCTTTCAAACCACCACAGTCCTAGACAAGAGTTGGCGAGATGGCTCTGCAAATGAACAAGCTTGTTATTGAACCTGAGGACCTGAGGCTAATCTTTGGAAGCTATAAGTAGAAGGAAAGAACTGACCCCAGAAAGTTGCCCTCTGACCTCCACATAACTGCTATGACCCTGTGCCCATACATGCATATTAATGATAATAACATAGTTGGGGGATGCTGTGAACAGAGACAAAGTTTTTCTAGAGGAAATACAAGTAAGCCAGGTCTGACCAGTTCCCAAGAGACAAAAGAGGCAATAAAAACATACCTCTACTCTTATAGACAAGACAACAAAATGTTCAGTGCTTCAAGTTCAACAATTTTCTATTATCTCTTCTTAAATTTTCTATTATCTCTTCTTAAAACTGAGTCTTAATATCAATTTACGATCTCATTTGTTACTGCTTATAATACAATAGTCTCACACTAGCTCAAAGACCTGAGAAGGGAAATAATACTATTTGAGTAAACAGGAAATGCAATCAAGCAACTGCCAGAAGGTGCAAGAAATGACAAAGACAACCAGCTACCTGGTCCATCTCCCAAAGTCTCATTTGCAGTGTTGGGGCAACCAACTTTGGCTAAGGCCTGGAGTAACTGACAGACCATTTTCAGAGGCAGGAAATTTTTAAAACCACATTACCCGGCTTTGGCAAAGTTTGGCAGTCTTTTTGCCTGATTCCTGTTTGTCCAGTCTGGACACCATGCATTTTGTCAGTGGTCAAGGCAGGGGCAATTCTTTGCCTAAAGGCCAGTTTTACCAAGAAGAAAACAAGCTCCAAGTGGAGTGTCTTTTGTGTCCAACATTCCCTCAGGAATAGATCAGTACTGTCAGGAGCAATCGTGTCTCACTTTAACAAAATTCTAAGTTATTCAGATGTCATATTCTACAGTTCTCTGAAGTGGTTGAAGATTACTTATCAATGTGGAATACAATCTCTATGTATCTAAAGAACCTGATTAGTCTAACTATAAGTATGACAAACATGGATGACTATTGACCTAAAATTCTTAATACCTATTTAGCTTAAATACTAAAGCTTTATATTAAAATATTAATATTAATAGTCTTTAAACAACTGTACAGCAAATGAGGACAATGACCTCAAAATGTAAACAGTGTATAAATATCTTGATCAGAGTTAGAAATGTATAGTGCAATATGATAAATCTAAACTAAAATTGCATCAATATACAAAATATCTTAAGCAGAGGTAGAAACATACATGCACACACTATGACAAAATAACTTTGCATAGGTACACAAATATTGTAAACAAAACTAGGAGCATATTCAGTATAACAAATATAATTTGAATTTGTATCAATATACAAGAATCTACACCAGTGTAAATTGTCTATAAATAATAGCTCACATGTTTAAACAAAATGGGAAGATGAGGTGACAGCTTCTTCATCCAAGACCTTTAAGACACTGGTCCACTTTGGGTATGGTCACATATATTATATACACAGATGTAAAAGCATGTGTGGCCCCTTTTGGCTGCTGGATTCGATCCCAGTTCCCCACTTACGCAGAGGAATGCTGATCACCACCTTTTCTGTGAGTCTACCCCTAAATAATAAATAAAGTTTTACTATACTCCATTCTGAGCTAGTGTGGGACTATTGTATTATAAGCAGCAACACTCACATTAGAAATTTTTCCATAATGATTTTTTTATTGTTTTTATTGAGCTACATATTTTCTCTTCTCCTCTTTCTTCCTCCCCACTTCTCTTCTACCCTCTCCCATGATTCCCACACTCCCAGTTTACTCAGAAGATCTTATCTTTTAAATGCCTTTGTTGTTATTGTTGTTGTTATTATTGTTTGTTTGTTTTTTTCAAACAGGGTTTTTCTGTAACTTTGGAGCCTGTCCTGGAACTAGCTCTTGTAGACCAGGCTGGCCTCGAACTCTTGGAGATCTGCCTACCTTTGCCTCTTGAGTACTGGGATTAAAGGCATGTATCTATACCACCCGGCTAGAAAAATTTTTAAAGCCCAAAAGGGAAAGAAGAAAATCAGAAACCATATAACCATGGAGGAATGTTGCCTGCTGTAGTCTGAATTCTAACTGATTTTAGCAATCAGAACCCCAATCAGATATAGAGGTAAATGCTGAAAGATCAGAGAAGCAGAGAAGTCAGCAGTTCTTACTTAGTTCTCACCTCTACTGAATCCTCAGACTGAATGGGTGATCCTATCTCTAAAAATCCTCAGACAGAATTCTCAGAATGAATGCCGTGAGTGCCTACCTCCTCCAGCTTTATATTCCTCTTTCTGTCCAGGCAAATCCCTTCCTGTCTCTATCTCCCTAGTGCTAGAACTAAACAGGTACTCTCAAGTACTAGGATTAAATGTGTGAGCCACCACTGCCTGACTCTGAATCTCTTTTAGTCTGGATTGATTTTATGTAGCCCAGGGTGGCCTTGAACTCACAGAAATCCATCGGCCTCTGTCTCCTGATTAATCTCCTGGGATTAAAGGTATGTACCACACTACCTGGTCTCTATGGCTAACTATTGGCTAGCTCCACATTCTGATCTTCAAGCAAGCTTTATTTGTTAAAGCACAAACATAATCTCACCACTTTTTTCATTCCCTGGCTGGTTCAGGCTTGACAGCTTCCTTACACAGCCCCGAACCACCTGGGTAAGGATGGCTCCCCCCTCTACAGTGTGCACAGTCCTCCAATATCAGTTAATAATCAAGTAGTTCCCATCTGCCATCCTGGTTTTGGCAGTTCTTCAGTGGAGCCTCTTTCTCTAAGATGACTTTAGCCTGTGCAAATTTGATAACCGGGCTAACCATGACATGGTCAATGTATACAAACGGTTTTGTGCAGTGTTTGCATAGATAGGATAAATACTGTTTAAGATAGCTAATGTTAACACAAAAACTCACAGCTGGTCAAAGTACCCAGGACAACACCAATCAGTTGTCTGCTCAGTCACAAATGAGACATCTATATCACACTTATCCCGAGGATCAGAGATCACTGCTGAAGAGGAGGTGCAAAGATTATAAGAGCCAGAAGCTGGGAGGACCAGAGGGAAAGCATCTTCTAGACATGACAGGATCACTACACTCATGATCTCACAGCAGCTGCGGGTGCCTACAAAAGATGAAGCCAGTCAACTTTACATCACTGAGTAGGAGGGAATTCATAAGTCTATGTCCCCACCCCTAACTGAGAATGACTTCTAGCAAATGGAGTCTCAGTCTTATTTAAAGGTGTGGCTCCTGGTAGGTCAACAATGCTCCAAGAGATGGTTTCACATGCAGGAGATGTGGGTCGCACAAATTGGAGTCCATGAGTTACTAAACAACAACAACAAAAAGAAGATAGGATGCTGCAGGGGTGGGTGGGTAAATAATTGGGGTAGATCTGGAAGGAGTTATGGGGGGAAGTTGAGTATGAATATGATCAAAACACATTATATGAAATTCTCACAGAATTAATAAAAAGAATAAAAAGAAAAAATAAACAAAAGTACCTAGACTTATTTAACACATGAAAGGCAGCATTAAACACAGCATGTTATAGGTAGTACATCAGATATAACCACCCCTCTCTGTCTGTAATGATAATATTCCCATTTCAAATAGGAAGATGTTGAGAGTTAGATTAATAAACTCACGTGTGGTCACTTAGATTAATAAACTCACATGAGGGCTAATAAATGGTTGTCATGAGGTTTTAGATCATTCATGTTTAACTCCTGAATCCCTGCATAAATTTTCTGCAATAAATTCAAGTTTTCCAAAGGCCATGGAATCTCAAGCAGAGACCTCATGACAGAAATCATATCTAGAACAGCTCACACCTTGATACAAATGCATCAGAAATATTTAAGATTGGGTAAAATTTGGTGAAGACATTACAACACTCACCTGCCAGGCAATCAGATCCTCCTGGCAGTTGTATGAGGCTGTATGCTGTCATGTTTTATTCCTTGAAGTTAACCATAAATTGCATCATAGCCTACCTGGGCACTAACCTTAACAAAGTCCTACCCATACATTTTGCTCATTGGTAAATTTGATGCATGGTAGGCATTCATTGGGACATAGCGTATATAAGTGATTTAGGTGAAGTCCTAAATGCCGGCCTCTTCTTGTTCTCCCAGTCTCTATGGCAATACACAGATTCATTCCAAGCACCTTCAGAGGAACTTCCATGAATTTTTTGACGCTGTCTCATGGATTTGCCTGTTTCACAGGGGCACTGCTGGTGGAGTTGGTTTATCTCATCTCAAAAGGTAAGAATTCACTCATCTCATGCTTATATACATTGAACTGATGACTAGGGAGCTGGGAGACAAAACCATAAGGGAGGGTCTTTGCGAGCATAGTCTTTTTTTTTAATTGATCCACTTTTGCAATTAAGATAGAATTAAGATAGGAGGTAGAGTCTTGCTGTATTAATTAATTTCTGGGAATTGTTTTCCTTTTGATAGGAGGAGGTAATTACAGAATGTCACTTCCCATGAGACAGCGTAGAGTGTCTTTTAAAAGTGCATTTTAAAGCGAACTGGTCATTGTATTCATGTTAGGTCTTGTGATGAGGCTGTGTTAAATAATGGCTGGTAGCTAACAAAGACAATGCTAAAAAAGAGCACCTGCGCACATGCGGGATTGTAGGCTACCCCGTGGCCTTCTTTGCTCTCTCAATTGGCCACAAATGTTGCCTGTACAATTGAGGAGAAATCCTAAGGTGGCTAACAAATGATCTGGAAAATTTTCCCAGGGAAAATTTTGGATAGAGAAACAAGAAATATGAAAAATTGAGATGCAAATGTTAAAATTCTAATCTTAAGTTGGTTTGTGAGTGGAAAAGACAGACAGCGTAGACATCATGATTAATGGCCAGGGGACATGCCTTTGACTATATTTTTAAATCAACCCATCTTACCAATATTATTTTTGAATGTCACTGTACCTAAAATTTTATCTTAATTGGCTGTTGCTTACTTTAAGGAAAATATGATAGTTTTACTCTTCTCTACTTTCAAATATATTTATGGTTGTACACTTAAAGTAATATAAAAGGGGGGATGATTTGTATTCTCTTACATAAATCCAGTCTATTTGCTCTCAGACTATGAAGAAAATAATCAGTCAGTGACAAATTCAACACAAAGCTCAAAAATTATTTATCAAGAACCTACTGTGTTCTATGTATGGGGTACTGGGGTGCCAGGACCAGCAAAATAAACACTTCCCAAATCCCTAGAAGATTCCCAGTGATTCAGGGAATCACTTACATCAAGAACAGTTAATATAACAAGTTTGGCAAAATCTGTCAACTTTTATTGACTGGGTGATAAGGACAAACCTTGCCTGTAAGAATCTGAGGAAGTTCAGCAATAGCATATGTGGGGCACTCCCGCTGTGTCTCAAACCCCACATCACAAAGAATAGCAGGCAATCCTGTTGTGACTCTCGGAGCACTCAAATCCAAACTCGCAACATCAGCTCCAGAATTTACAGTGTTTGAACTCTGATGGCTAGTTTTGTTGTGATAAAGTATTCCTTTCAAGATTTTGTAAATGACCTGAAGAAGTCTCACTTAAACTTGCATCTAAGCACTTCCCATGCTAAACATGCTTCCTTATTTCATTTTGCTTAATGAAATAATTCTGAAAGTTGACTTTAAAAAATGTCTACAAGGCTGATAAGATGGCCCAGTGGGTGAAGGGGCTTGCTGCCAACCCTGGCAGTCAGAATGCCATCCCTGAAACACACGTGGTGGAAGGTAAAAGTGGAACAGACTCAATACGAGTACACAGAATAAATAAGTATATGCATATAGATGTACAAAGAGAGCCGCTACCATCAAATCTCATCTGATGTACACTAAAACTTCAAAGTCAAATATCATTACCAGCTTAGGTCTTTAAAAATTGAAACTGACCTTACTGCCTCAAGCATCTTGGCACAGTGAGATCGACCTTCCTGAATTCTCCCCCAAATTCCTGTGTGTTGTCCACCAGCCATAACTTTGTAGATCCCAGCTATTACTGAACCGAAATTTATTTAGTCACTACTACTCAAAGGGGGCTCGGGGAACATAGAGAGGGGCTGGGGCATAAAAGGGCAATGAGGAAAACTGTCTCCACAAGCCAGCAAAACTGAGCCTAATGGAGCAGCATCCCCAAAACCTGCCTTAACCAAGTTCTGAATGCCATAGGAGCTGATACAGCCAGACTATTGCTGCCTTGTGCTAGGAGAAGCTTGTCTCAGCCTCCTGTGTGCTGGGATTACAGGCATGCACCACCACACTCAATTTCGGCAGTGCTAAAAATTGAACCCAGGGTTCTCTGTTCACCATACAAGCCCTCTGCCAATGACTCTATCCTCTGTCCACTACTTTACATTTTCTTTTACATATATTTTGTGTGTGTGAGTGTGTATGAGGATAGGGTTGTGTAACATAGAGTACATGTTACAGTTAGAGGAACTGCAAGAATCAGTTCTCTCTCTACCATATGGATTCTGAAAATCAAACTTGAGTCTTGGGCTTAGTGGCAAGTGCCTTTACACACTATGCTCTCTCATAAGGCCCCAGATCCAGTCCTTCTGGTTAATGTTTTATTATAAAAGAAGACAAATTCAAATGTACTGTCAGAAGAAGCACAAAGTACAAGCCTGTGATGGCTGCACCACTGAGAATGTCCCATTTAAAAGGACGTAGTACCTGCTCAGCCCTTTAGTGTATCATAGAATGAAGAATTCTCCCAGTGCCAAAACTCACTATACCATGTCCTTACCATTCTTCCTGAGACTCTGTTAGGCAGGCAAGGTTAACTGAATCATTGACATGTTGAATACAGTCTCCCTCCTCCTTCTCTTTCCTCAAATTTTGACATCTATAACTTGGCTCAGAGCCTGTGAGTCACACTTTTGGTTAGTCAGTTCCATTCTGAGTCATTCCGTTCACACCAACAGTAACACTTGCCCCTGCTAAGAGTCATCTATTGGCATAAATTATTATGTAGGATATGAGTCGCCCACTATGAAAACCAAAGATTCTCCACTCTCTCAAGAATTTTATAAACAAAAATACCTCCCAGCTCCCAGAAACCAGATCTATCAAAATCATTAACATGATTATTCCTGCAAACATTTCTTTTTTTGCATTAATTAAAAAAACTTCTGAATAGACATTGTACATTACACATTTTCTCTGATGCCTGCTACCCTTACACTGCCTTTTCTTATCCCTTCCTCTTCCCTTTTGTGTGTCCACTGGGAATTTTCTTACTATGACAATCTTCAGCTGCAAACATCTCCCTGCAAATGACATAATTCCATTCTCCTTTATGGCTGACAAGCATTCCATTGTGTACATATACAGCATTTTCTTTATTCATTCCTTTGCTGTGTACCTAGCTGGTTTATAAAACTTGGCTATTGTGAGTCTGCAATTAACATTGGTGTGCAAGTGTCTCTGTGGTATATTGATTTGGAGTCCTTTCATCCACACACTCACCTCCTCTGCCATAAGTACTCAAAAAGGAATGGTGAAGCTGTATTTTCTCTCATGAGGTAAATACTCAGGAGTGATATAGCTAGATCACACGGTTGATCTATGTTTAGTTTTGGGGAAACCTCCATACTAGTTTCCATTGAGAGTGGACTCGTTTATCTTCCCACTAGCAGTTTACAGGATTCCTTGTTTCTTACCCATTGTGGTAGTTTGCATAAGAATGGCCCCATAGGCATATATATTTGAATAGGGAATGGCACTATTTGAGAAGGATTTGGAGGTGTGGCCATGTTGGAGGAAGATGTTGCTGGGGGTGGGCTTTGAGGTTTTAAAAGCCCACACCAGGCCAGCGTCTCTCTCTCTCTCAGCCTTTAGATTAGTATGGATCTCTTAGCCAATCTACTGCTCTATCACCATGTGTGCCATCATGCTTCCTACCCTGATGATACTAAATATGGTGGTTTAAATAGGAATGGCCCCATAGACTCATGTATTTGAGTGCTTGGCCTATAGGGAGTGGCACTATTAGGAGATGTGGCCTTGTTAGGTGGGTATGGCCTTGTTGGAGGAAGTGTGTCACTATGGCGGTGGGCTTTGAGGTCTCATATATATTCAAACTGTTCTCAATGTGGCACACAGTTGCTTCTGCTGTCTGTGGATCAAGATATAGAGTTCTCAGCTCCTTCTCCAGCACCATGTCTGATTATACAATGCCAAGAATATAATGGACTAAACTTCTGAAACTATAAGCCAGTCCCAATTAAATGTTTTCCTTTATAAGAGTTGCTGTGGTCATGGTGTCTCTTTACAGAAATAGAAACCCTAACTAAGACAACGGACTAAACCTCTGAAACTTTAAGTAAGTCCCCCAATTAAATGCTTCCTTGCATATGAGTTATCTTAGTTGCATTGTTACTTCCCAGCAATAGAACAGCGACCAAGACACCTGCATCCTCACTTTACAGTATATGTTATTGGTTCTCACTGACTGACTTTCAAATCTCAACATAACTTAGGTGTATACTTCTTCCATGGCTAGTGAGGTTGAATGCTTCTTTCTATGTTTCTCAGTCATTTGTAGTTCATCTTTTGCAAACTGTCGGTTTATTTCATTAGCCCATTTTTGTTGGATTGTTTGTTTTCTTGTTTATGTTTTTAATTCTTTGCAAGTTCTGGATATCAATCTACTGTCAGATGAATATCCGCCAAAGACCTTCTCCCACTCTATTGGCTGCCTCTTAACACATTTAACTGATTCCTTCCTGCAGAAAGGTTTCACTGAAAATCTAAATTATCATTGATAATTTGCATTGCATAGTAGAAACTTTTACTTTGTTTCATATATATATACATATATTTCTAAAATTTTTATTTATTTATTTTATTCTTCTCTTATATATTACATCCTGACTGCAGTTTTCTCTCCCTCCTCTCCTCCCAGTCCCTCCTTCCATCCACTTCTGTTTTTACCCCCAATCCACTCATCTTCCATTTCTGTTTAGGAAAGGGTGGGTTCCTATAAGTAGCAACAAAACATAGCATATTAAGTTGCAGTAAGACTGAGCACCTCAGGGACTGGAGAGGTGGCTCAGAGGTTAAGAGCACTGGTTGTTCTTTCAGAGGTCATAAGTTCAATTCCCAGCAACCACATGGTGGCTCACAATCACCTATAATGAGATCTGGTGCCCTCTTCTGGCATGTAGGCAAACGTGCGGGCAGAACATGCATAATAAATAAATAAAATCTTTTCTGCCTCGGCCTCCCGGGAGC